ATCAAGAAGTCTACACCTACTGTATACTCTCAGATGGCCAATATGTTCACTGAAAATTGTAAACATTTCTTGATAGCACTGCAGTTGGTTACCTTGGTTGAACTTTTTTTCTTAGGTTTAATTTCAGAGTATATCACTTCTTTGTCCACCTGTGTGAAATGAGCATAATACAATGCATTTAGACACACTGAGTGCCCTGTGGGAAGCGCAGGATGCCAAAATTAATAAAATAGCAATATTTAAGTGAACAAGAAGGGGCAGAGGTTTGAATCCCCAGAAGCAAAATACAGCTTTGTGACTCATGCTCTCATTTCATGTGATAGGTGTTTTATTTTGTGAGTTGTTACCCCCCCCCCACCACACACACACACGAGAACAGTTTACCCTAAGAGGATTTTTATTATCAAGTAGTCTAGATCTGTAGCAAACTCTCAGATGAAATCTTTGCTGAAAATTGGACACTTGATTTCTTGATAGCACTTACCCTGGGTGAACTATTTTCTTTTAGTCCAATTTCAGAGTATCTTACATCCTCTCCAGTCTTCATTGAAGAACATAACACAATTAAAACATCTGCCATAAATATGTTTTTAGTATCATGTACCGTGCACACAGAGAAATAAATCAGCATAACTTACCATTGCTGTCGCTGATAATTCTACTTTGCGCTTCTCTAGCAAAACAAAATTGCCGTTACTGACTCACTGTAACAATGCTCAATAACCTAACTATTTATTCAGTTCTTAATATTTATTAATACATTTAGTGTGGATTGAAATCAAGCTTCGTTAAGACTTACTGTGACTCAGTATAAACCAGATGAACACCATAATTAAAATCAAGATCAATACACTCAGAGGGATGATGAGGATCTTTGTGTCATATGAAGCTCTGCAACATACAGGTTGAGAAAATAATTTAGTTTATTTTAACAAGTAATAATAGTGTCTGTAAAAATTTGTATGCATAATCCCTTAAAATATTTTACGTCTAAATACTGCAAATAAATATAAAAAATATCTGACCTGTGTTCTTTATTTTCTTGTACTGTAGATTTGTTCCATTTTGATAATTGTTTTACTTATGGCAACAGTATGAGTAGTAGATATAGAAGTAGAACATAGTAGAACATTATCACAAGAGTACTGTAACAGTTATAAACTCTCTAAAATCTCTTAGAGTACAAATATTTATAAAAGTATTGAATTCATTTACATGTAAAATCTTTGATAACTTGCAATACTCACTGTTAATTGGTTTCTCTGTAACATTTAAATATACTGGTATCTGAATGTCCCCTTCAGCACACCAATACCAGCCGCTGTCCTCTGACCTTAGTCCAGTCATGGTCACTGTGAAAACATTTGGGTCTCTCATATGAGTGGTCACTGTTGTTCCATCTATGGATCCAAATGATCCTGTCACACAGTTCCTGCCCAGCCTGCACCACTTCATTTCTCCAGAGTTACTCCGGTGACATCTAATAGTTATGTTTTCTCCAATATATCCTGTAGTCTTCTGATGATCCAAATAGAGACTGGGGGTACCTTCAAGTAAAATTCAGTTTAAAGAAAGCAAAAAACCCAAAATGCCAATACTTTTTTCAGTGCTGAATAAAAAATATATATGTGATTAAGATTTCATGTTGATTCTCATTAGCTTTGAATGACAAGTGCATACTCAGTCTTAAAAAAATGTTATTTTTTCTTTTTTTTTTCCAAAAACAAAAACAAAAACAAAAAAAAAAAACGACATTGCAAAGAATTTGAAATGTTAGAGATGTGCACTTACCACTGGTTACTGATAGTTGAAAATACTGTCCGCAGTCCAGTCCATTATTAATCTCCACCACACACCAGTAATCAGTATTTTGATTTGTCAGATTTTTTATAGTCACAGTAAAAATTTGTTCTTTTTTGTCATCATAGATTGAATATTTTCCTGAAGGGTCTGGTTTGTTTGTTTTTACTGCATAGCTGCAGGAGCTCCATATATGCCCTTTACACAAGTACTTCACATGGTCTATATATTTTGACTCATAGAGACATGGGATGGAGATAGATTTTCCAGCTTCCACTGATACTTTACTGACTGTAGTTATGCTGTGAACTCCTGCAACAAGAACAAAGTATTTTATTGGTTATGTTTAATGAAAACATTCTTCCTTCATTTGTCTCTTGTACATGTAGACACTTAGAGTGTTAAGTACAAAACAGAATAAACTAAAAATTATTAAAAGCCATTATTTTTATCATCTACTGACACTAACCTTTGAAAAACATGAAGTATTTTAATGATTCCTGTGACTGACCTTTAAGCACACTGAAAAGAAGAAGAACACTGAGATGAGCAGCCATGCCTGTGAGTGGGTAGAATGAAAACACATGAACCACAGTCAAGTCTGGTTCTATTTTTGAATTTAAGCAACATGCAAATGCAACACTTAAAACCTGCCTTCCTGATAGTTCGTCATACAATAAGGTGTTTTTTTCTGCTGTCTTTTGCTGTAAACTAAGTATGAAAATTACCATCCACAACATTACTACAAGTAAACAATAATATGCATTCTCATAATATATAATAGCACTGACAGTGCAGGAAGCAAAAACAGTAAAAAAAAAAAAACAACTCTATTATACATGATGAGTTCTCACAAATCCTGAAAATAGGGTTCAGGATTATCCTTTGGTGTCGATGCTTTTGATAATTCTTTATTTCTTTTAAACCAGAAAGCTCGTGATCTTAACGAAAGGAAATGGTAACAAAGAAATTCTGCAATAAACTTTCCTGCTTTGCAAGAATAATAAATAATTATTATTCTAATAAATTAGAATGGAAAGCTGAATATTTGCCCTTTTCATATCTTTTATGATTGAAGCATAACTGTACATGCTGTCCACATCATTTTGATTAAATCACCTTCATGTTGGAACAGAAATCGAAAGCTTTACACTTTGAAGCATTTTAAAAGTTTTATTATGCTGCACTTTGGTGGAAAGTAATTTTAAGTCTACACTATGGTTAAATACAAAACTATGGTGGTAGTATATTGATGATAACTGAGATAATTTTAAACCCATTTGTTTTAAGTTACTTCCTCTTCCTGCCTAGACTGAGAAAATATAATTGGCAGAAAGAATAAATAGTGTCTACCTGATCTCACGTCCAACTTGTCACAGATGTTTAATCAGCAATGCTTTGTGTCACATGTTAACTTTCTGGATGCCAATTATTAAGTTCCAGTTTTAGAGGGCTTCACAGCATTCAGCAGTTTATTCAAAGACATCAATTCCTTCTTAAATTTAAAATTTCACACTGTAATTTATTATTCATTTAGTGTTGTGTAACATGCTCATAAGGAACTAACTTTTTATAGTGTAGCTATGTAGTTTTTCTACTGTGGCAGATCAAAACGTCTATGAAAATGGCCTCAAAGGTGCTGTGATAGAACTCAGGTTTCTTATTTATATTAAATGGGTGACACTGCCACCACCTTTGTTAAAATGTCTGGTCTGGTGTTGAGAGGCCAATGAATACCAAACAACCTAATACTTCAACACACAAAGGCTGTATTTGAAATCGAGGTAAAGTTTAAAGCCCCCAGAAATAAATAAAAACACATCAGTAGCCTACACAAGACATTGGCCAGTAGTATGCCGCTTCCTGAATTATGGCATATAAAGAATAAATCATAATATTATGAAACAGTTATATTACTGTCCTGTACGCGTGCTAATGTGACTAATGCTTTTTCTTTGAGAATAATTCCATGAATATGTGTTCTGAAATGTCAACACTAATTTCTGCTTTTGACAAAGTAGTGCTTGAAAGTACATAATTTTCCTGAAATGTGTGGCTTGTTTGTGTTAACTGCATAAATAAATGTGTACCAACAACAATTAGACTGTTTCATGGTTTCTGTGCTGCCTTCAATATTACCTTTACAAACTGTAGTCTTGCTGTGGATTCCTCCAACTAGAACAAGCATGCCAGTGTCATCATCAGGCTGTGTGCAGGCAGGAGAGGACCCAAACGCAAACTCACGGGAAAACAGGACTGAACTCAAAATACAGCTTTATTGCTGACAGAGGATAAAGGCGATACAAAATAATATGAAACTAAACTGGGAAGTACTAAGGAACTGACTCACGAGGAAACACACGGAGGGGCACACAGTCATGAGGGAGAACGCGACACAGAACTGAGGGAGACGCAGACATAAATACACAGAGGGTTAATGAGGGAAGTGGGAGCACACGGGGAACACAGGTGACGCTGATAATCATAACAAGACACGGCAGGAGTAAATGCAACACTGACGGGAGACTGTCAAAGTAAAACAGGAAGTACACAGAGGTTCAGACAGGAGGAGAGAGAGCACGGACATAACGGGCTGGGGAAAACATGGAATAAAACACGAGGGGAAACAAGGGTTCACAGATACACAGAGGGGCACACAGGGGGCAACCAAATAAGGAACATCTTAACTAAACAACCTAGGAACCAAGGCATAAATAAAGAACAAAATACAAAACACACGAAAACTAAGAATACTGGGCCAACATGGCCCAGGACCATGACAGCCAGTGATATAATATTGCAATCTGTTATCTGTATATTTTGCAACAGAGACAAACAGAATCGAAAGTGTCAGTATATAGGATAGTTAAGTAAAAAGGGAGATGACCAGTAAACCATTATGTAGCTTTGGTGCTACAATGGGTGATGCTCTGTGTCTTTATTGGTTATGTTACATTTATTAACATTTTTAGCACATAGATAGCATTACTTGGTGGTTTTTCTGTGGTTTTGGCTGAAATAAGAAAAGCAGTGGTTACTTTTATTGTTTAAGTTGTGAAAGATTTTCTGTCATTTGCACAGACAGGCTGGGTGGCACTGGGAGAAAGCCTGCCCCCTTGTGTGTGTATTTGAATTAAATGCTAGTTATGCTGGCAAGGAGCAAAGACCTCTTTGTCTAATGAGCACATTTGTATTTTCTCTGAGGATATGCTAATATTTACATGTAAGCTAGTGTGTGTGATTGTGTGTGTGAGATGCTCCAGTCACAGACACACAAAAAACTCTGGCATGGAGATGGAGCATTACGTCTGGTTGGATGTTGCTGGTCAGAGTGCACACTTGTGCAGAGTGCTTCTTGTTCCCACTGACCCATGTGGACAGTGACTCCGCAGGGCTGTCCTGGCAAACTGAAAACAGTTAAATATGAATAGGGAAATTGTGCTGACAGTGATATACGTCCTTCATGTACAGAGCACATTTGTCAGGGCCTTTCATTTCATGTATTTATTTATTTCAAACTTGGTTCAGCAGTTGAAACAGCTTTATCTTTTCATACACAAAAACTATGCGTTACCTTGATATAACACTGCAACCATGCGTGAAAAGGTGCAGGAAGAAGAAAAATATTCTTATTAAACCCTGCCCCCTATCTGCAATCCAACTAATATTACAAGTGGGCCTATAAACCAAGGAACACACTGGCATTTATCTACAGATCCTTGCGCAGAGCAAACAACCAAATTACAATCAGCAATAAACCACAACACATAATAACAAGGAGAAAAAACAAGTTAACATTGGCAGAGTACAGGGGCACCTGTCTGTCTCAGGGCTAAGAGAGTTAGGGTAACAAATCTATTGTGGGCGATCGTGGCTCAAGAGTTGGGAGTTCGCCTTGTAATCGGAAGGTTGCCGGTTCGAGCCTACTGCCTACTGGTGGGGTCAGAGGGTGCAGTGGCACCAGTGTCCGGCAGCCTCACCTCT